TAAGGCTGATTTTGTAAAAATTTGAAGGCCAACTATTCATGTCTTGAGCAACCGTTAGCTTTCTTAGAACCTTTGAACCAGCTAAATTTGTGCGTGATTCAAACTAATGAGTCGCGCTTTACATTTTCATTTGTCTATTATGCTATAAAACTGGTGAATATGTTTCAGATTACCACAACGTCAATAGTGTACTTATTCTGTCTGTAAGTGTCCGTATATGTGTGCGTATGTGTCTATGTGCGTAAAGTGTTCAATTTACATGCAGGCAACAAGGTAATAGCTTTAAAAATTTTTGTAAACAAGGGGGAAATAGGAAGTGGTAAGAAGCCGTTACTTACCAAAGGGGTAATTTTTCCAACATGGATCTCATAAAAAGTCCATGCTCACATAGATTATGAAATGACATCGATTTCGTTCTTTCAATGTGAATTGCAGTGACAACCTCACTCGAAGAGCATATCGATGTAGATAAATGCTTTTCGTCTTGAAATTCTGAGCATCACTGAATTTCTTTTAAAAAAACACATAAATTCGCCAAGTTTGACGGCCTTCTAGCATTGATCTGTGGAAATATCCAAGTCAATTGCTAAATATCTGCGCAACTGAAGTTTACCTTGTATTGGTAATGGCAGTTTGGTTGTTTTCATACGTCATCCTATTACATTCACTCCATACATTCTTGATAGAATATTCACCACTGCTTCAAATCTTTTTCATACCTGCTCTTTATCGAAAAGGAAGTGGACATACTCTCAAACGTTGCGGTACTACGGCTTTTTAGAACAACTAGCTCTTGTTGAGTCACTTAGGTTAGACTTTAAGGGTACCATGCATTCAAGTGCACTCATAGTCAATAGTCAGTCCATCTACTGCAGTTTAATTTTCTGAATCAAAAACTAAACTAGTCTCCCCAAGTCTCTTTTCCGAAAATGCAGTATGCGAATGTCCTGTGGTAACGTTATATTGTTGAAGGATTTATCGTTAGCAAAAGACCATATATCAAGTAAATGTAATTTAACGGCGAGTTCCATCCTCGAAGAAAATTCCCCCGTCGTTGGCGCAGTATTTGGGGCAGATACCGCGTTCGCCAGAAGGGGCTCCTTGCCCTCGTTCTCCTGGACGGCCAGGGTTTCCTGCACGGCCAGGCTGTCCATCGCCTCCGGGTGGTCCTTTGGGACCGGGCTGCCCTAAAAATTCATGATTAAACATTGTTTAGATTAGATGGAATTCAGCATTTACCAGCTCCTCCGGGGTTTCCGGGCTGTCCATCGGTTCCGGGAGGTCCGGGAGGTCCTGGAGGTCCAGGTGGTCCAGGCTGTCCTGCAGCGGACTCCGAAG